GCTCAGCCGCTTTGCCCTTTGCTCTGTCACTCCTGAGATGGATTTTGGCTCCGACACCCTTGTGGTTGCCAATGGGGAGCTGTGGGATGAGACCCTCCGAGCTCACACGGTGCAGAGGGCCCTGGGACCCCCCATTTCTCATTTCTCCTGCTCTTTCCATCCCCGCGCCCTGAGCTGGGCTGGGTGATGCAGTCCCTGTGGGACCAGGTCGGTGCTTGGGAAAACCCCTGAGGAGCAGGAGACCGAGTCCCGCAGGGCTGGGGCTGGAGCAGGTTGGAGCTTGCCTGGAATGAGCTTTCCTCAGAGCAAGGTGCTCGTGTTGGTGCTTCACAGCGGGAGGGAGTCGCTTCCCTCCGCTGACAGCGCGGGGCAGCACCGGACCTCAGGAGACCTCCTGCCACCGTGTTCGGGCTTCGGGTGGATTTAGGATTTGCTCCTTTGTTTCGGCTCCTTTCCCTTTTTTGGTACTTTTTGCTTTTCTCTGCAGGTGAACAGCTCGACTCCGCGATGCCAGAGCCGTGAGTAGCACCACTTCCCTTTGGATTCCACCAAATCCTGGTCTGGCCAAGGGCTGCTTGTGCTGGCTGAGCGTGTCCGTGTTTGGAAGGGTTCAGCTGGGAGACCAGCCCGTGCTCAAGACCTCTGTGCCATTCCCATGGCAAAAACTATCTTCAAATCAAATTCATTAGTGATTCCAATGTCCCAATTCAAAGCTTTTATAGATCCCTGCACAGGGATCTGAGGTGGGCACCACCCGCTTTGCGGCAAGGCTCTTTGTGGCAGCACATGGTACGGGTATAACCTATTCCCCAGGATGAACAGAAGGGAGAAACCTCCCTGCAGAGCTTTCACTGGGCGATGACACGGAGGTGCCCCAGCCCTGCAAACCTGAGCAGGATCCGAGCATCCTGGGTGCCAGCCCCAGCTCCACAGGGACCTTGTGAATGAGGGTGTCGTGGTCCGAACTGCAGGGACTGAGCTGGGGCTGGCACCATGGGCACAGTGACAGTTCCTGTGCCATGTTTGAATGGCATTTTGGCTTTCTGAGCAGTGCCCCTGAGCAGGGGCTTGGAACTGGTTGAGCTTTAAGGTCCCTTCCAACACAAACACGTCTGTGATTCTACTATTCTCTGACTGTCCCCTCTTTTTGACTCTTACTCACTGATGCCCTGTTCTCTTCTCTTGTTCCTCATTGCTCCTTCCTGAACACATGCCTGCCTGCAGGGAGGTAAGTGCTTCTCCTTTCGGGAGCCATCCCGATGCTGCTCTGAGTTTGCTGTGAGCTTGTTTTCAAAGTTTGTTGTTTCTTTTTCCCCTCCCCTTTCCCCTAGAGAAAATCCAAGATCACAGCCTCACGCAAGCTCTTGTTGAAGGTGAGTCCTGAGGGTTGGAAACTCCCTGGGGTTTAACTTGCTGGGGAAAAGGAGCCGGGGTTGGGTGCGTGGTCGGTGGGACAGCCATGAGGAGCAGCAGAAGAATGGGCCTTGGGGAGCAGCTCCCAGTCCCACCTCTTGTCTTCTCACAAATCCTCACTCATGTGGGCTTTGTGGTCCATGCGCTAAACAAGCCTCCCCTCCCGTCCCCTTTGCTGAGGTGGGGAGAGACTCTGACGCCTTCAGCTCCAAAGCCGCAGACCTCGTGTTTGTGCACCAGCAGCTCTGCAGCATCAGCTTGGGAGCTCCCCGGGCTGTGGCTTGGGAGAACCATTTAATGCCCCAGCAGAGCAAACCCATGCAGAGAAAGTGCTGACATCAGCATCCATCGGGACCATCGCGAGCACAGCCCCACGGTGCCTCCAGCCACGCTGCTTCCCGCGCCTTCAGGGCCACCACACGAAAGGTGTAGGGGTTGTTTGATGTGTGCTGCAGCAGCACAGGGACGTGGGGAGCACAGCTCCAGCAGGCAGCGGGTTCAGAGGCAGACAGGCCCGTCCTATCCTACAGACGATACGTGAGGATGCTCAGGGGGAACAGAGGAACCCGTCTGCTCACATTTCTACACTTGTGCTTGTAGAGTTTGATGCTGGCAAAAGCAAAGGAGGAGTGGGATCAGGAGATCGTGGACAAGCAGGCAGAGAAGGAGAGGTACCTGTCTGAGCGCATCACACCACTGCGCACCAGCGGGCTCTCCTTGAGCCAGCTCCAGGTATTTCTCAGGTCTGAGGGTGGAGTGAGGTCCTTGGGAACACGCAGGGTCATTGCTCACTGCTCTCCTGTTGTGCTTGTCCCCCAGGACCTGTGCAGGGAGCTGCACGAGAAGGTTGAAATTGTGGATGAAGAGAGATATGACATCGAAGCGAAATGCAACCATAACACCCGGGAGGTAGGAGGCAAGATGGGCAGTTTGCTCCTATGTTAACTCCAATCCACTTGGTAGCTTGGGGTCTGTCAGGGACTGGGCTGAGCTTGGATGTGGGACCTGCACCGGGGTTGGTATTTGCCCTGCAAGACATTTGCCCTGCTCAAGGTTCATCCCTGCCTCAGGGAATTCAAACTGTCCACTGGGTCCAAGGCAACCTCCTCCTCTCCTGGTCACCCCTTGTGTGTCTGAGAGCTTCTGCAGGGGAGGCACAGAGCCCTAGTTCACACAAGGCGGCCGCGCGGTGACCTCCTGCTCCTCCTCCTTTCTCCAACTTGCAGATTAAAGACCTGAAAATCAAAGTGCTCGATCTCCGAGGGAAGTTCAAGCGACCCCCCCTGCGGCGGGGCCGTGTCTCCGCCGATGCCATGCTGAGGGCTCTGCTGGGCTCCAAGCACAAGGTGTCCATGGATCTGAGAGCCAACCTGAAGTCTGTCAAGAAGGAGGACACGGAGAAGGTGGGTGACTCTGCTGGAGGCCAGAGATGGAGGCACCTCCTAGGGATGCTCTTGCCCTTCTCCAAGGTCCCCTCTGGAGCCTTCGTGGGTTGTTGTTCACCCTTTGTAACCTCAGAAATAGCGCAGGGCGGTCTTTGTGTAGATGAGCCCATTGCAGGACCACATGGGAGCAGTTTGACTGGGCCAGGTACCTGGTGGACGATAACAAGTGAGATTTAGGACTGTGTTCATGGTGTTCTTCCCTCCCAGAGCATGGGGGGGTCTTTCAGTTGGGGCGCCCTTGGCATGTCTTTTGAGCTGCGCTTGCAGAGACTTTGGGTTTTGGTCTTGTAGGGAACCAGGAGAGCTCCTGTTCAGTGCAATCATGCCCAGAAAACACTCGGGAAATTCCCAAACCCAGATTAGATAAGGCAGAGCCAGCCCAGCAAGCACATTTGGCTTGAAATACATGGCCCACATCACACCAGCTTTGCAGAGATGTGAGAGAAGAAAGTCTACCAGAGACAGAGAATGACACCTAAACCTGCCTGGGGTGTGCAGGCACCCAAGGGCAAGAGCTGTGCCCCTTTCCTAGGGCCTCCCCGCAAAGGGGTTTTGCAGTTTGGTCCCAGCTCAGCAGATCAGATGAAATCTTAATTTTCAACTGATTTTTCTGACTTTTCTTGTTCTTCTGTAGCACATCTCAGCCCTTTGCATAGAGAACGGTGTTTGCAGCCCTCAGCGCCAGTGGTGAATGGATCAGAGTTTAGTTTAGATGTCATGAGATGATTTTGGGACACGGTTTGTGATCGATGGATGCTCGTGGGTTGGCAGAGCAGACACTTGGCCATGCTCCCAAGTGGCAGAGCTGGGTCCGATGGAGAGGGTGTTTGCAACCTTCCCTGTGCTGCTTGGGGCTGATGGCTCTGTGCAGTGGGGTGGGACAGTGTGGGGCTGCTGGACACCCCATCCATGGCCACTGCAACCCCTGTCCCTGCAGGAGCGCCCTGTGGAAGTGGGTGACTGGCGCAAGAACGTGGAGGCCATGTCAGGGATGGAGGGACGGAAGAAGATGTTCGATGCTGCCAAGTCCCCCACGGGCCAGTGAGAGGTAGGGCTCTGGTTCTCCTTCCCTTGCGATGCCACGTGCTCCCTGCAGCACCCCTGATCTGTGACTGTGACCTACCACATACAGAAACCACCGCCACAGGCACCATTCCCACCCCACGCTTGGGATGGGTGACGGCCATAGGATCATACAATCATGGAGTAGTTTGTGTTGGAACAGACCTTAAAGCTCCTCCAGCTCCAACCCCTGCCCCGGGCAGGGACACCTTCCACTAGAGCAGGTTGCTCCAAGCCCCTGTGTCCAACCTGGCCTTGAACACTGCCAGGGATGGGGCAGCCACAGCTTCTCTGGGCACCCTGTGCCAGCGCCTCAGCATCCTCACAGGGAAGAGCTTCTGCCTCAGAGCTCATCTCAGTCTCCCCTCTGGCAGGTTCAAGCCATTCCCCTTGGCCTGTCCCTACATCCCTTGTCCAAAGCCCCTCTCCAGGTTTCCTGGAGCCCCTTTAGGCACTGGAGCTGCTCTAAGGTCTCCCTGGAGCCTTCTCTTCTCGAGGCTGAACAACCCAAACTCCCTCAGTCTCCATAGTGCTCCAGCCCCCAGAGCACTGCCGGCAGCTCTCCTCCTCCCGCAGCTTGTCCTCCCCTGCTCTCCAGCATCTGCTGCCCATAGCACACTGCTCCTGCACAGCATGGCCATCACCGCCACCTACTCCAGCTGCTTTCAGCAGCCTGAGAACTCCTCCTCTGGTCCCACTGCTCTGCTCTGTTTCTTTCCCACAGGAGCATCGGGAAGAGGAGCCTCCTCACCCCTGCCTCTGCCTCCCTTTCCCCTGCTGCCCCTCTGCTCTTTACACCATTACACTGAGCTGCAACACAGGAACAACTGTGTGGAACAGAGATCTGAGCTTCTTCCTCTGCGCTCTGCCCTCAGCCCTGCTCCCTCACGGCCTTGGCACAGCGGTTCCCCGCTATCACCCACACGGGCCATGCTGTCTCCAAGGGGGCACTGGCCATCCCTCCCCTTCCACCACTGCAGAGAGGCCCTGGAGGTGGCTGCTGGTCCTCCCAAACCCCCATCCTCTGGTGGAGCAGCCTGAGATGTACCCCCGCGGCTGCATGTGTATTAAAAGATGGTTTCCCAGGCAGAGCATCGTGTGGGCTCGTCACTGTGGAAGCGTTCACCAGGGGCAGGAGCTGGTCCACAGCCCAGTGGGGAAGATACCCTGATCCTTCCCTGCCCCCTGTGATGTCCCTGTGCCAGGTCTTGCGTGACTTATGGGAATACTTACTTCTTGCATGGTCATTAGCACTGGGGCTGCTGCAACATCCAGCAGCTCCTTCACAGGGAATTTAAGACTCGGTAGGAAAACTCTTCCCAAAGTTAGGGTCAGATCAAAGGGCTGTCAGCTGGAAAACACACATTATGTCCTTAGCAAGCACAGATGCTCAGACTTTCTCTTTCCACCTGACCCTCTGTCCCCATCAGCATCCTGTTAAGTGAGGCCACGACCACCCCCTGCACGACTGGAGCAGCTGCAGGGCACACAGAGCCTTTTCCACCCATTCTTTCCTTTCCAAGCTCAGCTGGAGGGAGCAGCCACATCCCAGCACAGCGTGTGGGGACTCACTGACCACTTGTCCTCACCCTGTGCACCTCGGGATGGGGTCCCGGCCAGCGCAGCGCTGGGGAACAAGTCTCTGTCTTGGCCAAGCCAAGTGACTCTGCGCTCAGAGGTGATTGGAGATGATGTCCTGGGATCTCGCTGTGCACGTTATTCCCCAGAGGGAACTCACACACTCAGCAGCGATCCTGGCAGAGGAAGAAAGATGTGTAGGGAGAGGCAATAACTGTTACCTGACCGACAGGTATAGCTGGAAAATGAGAGAGAGGTTTCATGGAAACAAAGCCTTCTTCAGACCTGGAACAGAAGCAGACGATGGCAAAGCCAAGTCCTGGTCGAGAACAGCTGCTCTGAGCTTAGTGCAATTATGCTAATTTTGTAATTAAAAGAAAAAAAGGGGTGGCATTTGTGGGGTGGGGAGGGATGAGAGTGAGATGAAAGGCAATATGGGTGCTATGGGACCAGGCACCCAGCCTGTGCCCGTGCCCGTGCCCGTGCCCAGCTCATCATCAGGTCCTGTGCACTAAGACACCCGAAACTGCTGCAGAGCAGGACCTCAGGGCTCACCAGCATGGCTCTGGTGTGCTCAGCAGGGTCCCTGGGCCCACATGCACCCATCAAGCTATAGATGGCTTTGCATGGCTGCTTGTGTTTTACACTGAGGGGGATGAGAGAAGAACCCAACCCCACAACTCTTTGCTCTGCAGGTTCCCCTACTTATTCAAAGTATGATGGTCCCCACTCACCATGTCCTGGAAAACCACATTGATTGGTCAGGGGAAAACGAAGTTTTATGGATTGCAGTTTTATTACAAACATGGAAAACCCCATCTCTTTACAGGCATTGGATGTCAAGGGGAAATGCAGTTGTCTGCTCTGAGGAAGTGGCTCTCCTGGTTGGATCGGGGCACTGGGAGCCAAGTCTTCCTCCCCATCTCTGCTCTGCAGCTGCTTCTGTGGCTCTGGGACAACTGTGAGCCCAAGTTCCCCCTTGGTAAGAGGGGCAAGTCGAGCCCTTCATCCCAGGATGTGCCTGGCTTCCCCTGCTCCTACAGTCCCTCTGCTGCTTCTCTCCTAGGTGACCATAATCTTGATTTCTTCTCTCTGAATTAGAAGGGAACCCTACAGTGATCCATTTTTAGTGACAATTCATTCCAAATGGGGGACTCACAAGGCTCTCTTAGGGAGACAAGGTGGTGCTGGAGCAGTTACTAATGCAATTGTACTTGTATGCAGACAAACTGCATGAGTCAGTCCCTGAACTGAGCAGAGTCCTGTCCCTACCCTGCTCCACGTTGTTTCATTGCAGCCAAGAGCCCCCAGAGCAAAACTAAACAAAGCAAAGCAAAAGTGCAGCACTGGAAGCTTGAAATTGCAGGAATTGTGACTTCAGTTGGACAGTAGAAAAAACCCCCAACATTAGTGAACCCAGTGATTTACTACTGGAAAGGTTTTGCTGGTAAAACTGCAATGAGGGAGATGCAAAGGGCTTGGTCTGATAAGACCTTCCCAGTTGGTTGTAAAATGGTCCTTTCCTTTCCTGGGATGCTCTGCAAGCTCCTTGCTCACCAGTCCTGCCCAGGGACATCTGAACTGTGCCCACATATTCCCCCGAGCACATCTGCAGCTCAGCTGGTGGCTGGACCTGCAAAGGGAGGAAGGGAAGGAGGATTTGTGATGGGCAACCCTGGGGTGGGAAGGATTGAAGTGGCCTCTGCAGAGCAGTGCAGCACACTGCCCTGCGCGGGGTTAATGCCAGGCTGCAGGCCCTGGTGGGAAAGGTTAAACATTACCTCCATTGCCCCCCATGGCCTCTGCAGTGCTGCTGGTGCAGGATCAAACCCCCGCTGCGGCTGAGCATAACCACGTATCACCCTGCGGGTCATCACTGCACGTCCTGTGGGTCCCC